ATCGTATAAAATTAATAAGTCATCGAATCCGAATCAGATTGTAAAAAAATTTTTTTTCTATTTTCTTATTGGAAGAGGGTAGGGGATTTATTTGTAAAATATTTTTAAATTCTGTTCTTCTTATCTAGAAACCCAACGGGAAGTTGCCAATGTTAACGATTGGTTCAATAATGGGCCATGCTTGGTACCCAATTATTTTTAAAAAATATATTTTTCAAAAATTTATTTAAAAAAAATATATTTTTTAAAAAAATATATTTTTTTAAATTAATAGAACATATTAATTTAATTTGTCACCTCTGGTAAAACAAAGATGAAAGACTGATAAATTCCCTCACTTTATATTTTACAGTGGAGGGATGACTGTGAATGTCTTTGCGAGAGAGAAGCAGGTACTTATATGGGCAATTCCACGCAAGATTTACCTATGACCTTGAAAATTCGGTTCAACATATTTTTTTCTCAATCTATATGGAAAAAAAAGAAATACGTGTTTTTTTATTTTTGTTTAATCGCCAAAATTTTCGAGTTATGAATTTTCGAAATTTTGGATTTGTAACTGTAGACATATTTTCAGTAGCTTATAAGTCTGAAAATATTAAGTATAGAAAAAACTTGTCAAGGAATGAAAGTTTTAGTTTTCTTTCAACTTTTAAGAAATGTAAAAAAAAAAAATTTTTTTAAATTTTTTATTAAAAAAAAATTTTTTTTTTATAAACAAATTAATTTTTTTTAACTTTGGACCCTTTTCTTTTTTCTTTTTTTTAAATTTATTTATACCTTATAATATACAGAAGATTTTCCTAAAAGTTTTGGAGTGGGCCGACGCGTTTAATGAGTTGTACAAAATTTTCAAAAATCACGTGCAAGGTGCTCGTGTTCTACGAAACGCCTCACAATGGAATTTTTTTACAATTTACTTCTCAAAAAATGTCTACAGACTAAAATTTTTAATCGATTCGAGTGTTTTTTGTTTTAAATAAAAGGAGAACAATTTCTGAACATATCCCTCCATGCAAACCTAAGAATCTTAAATTGTTTATAATTTTTTTTTAAATACAAAAAGTTAACAAATTAGTTGTGTAGTTTCCTTTAAAAATGAATGATTATTTTCTTATTTTGCTACTACACATGTCCTAAATCAGATTCAATTAATATAATATATGACCACCAGATAAATAGTAAAACATAAAATAATTTATCTAAACACTTATAAACAATATTAGTTAACAAATAGTTAACTTTGGTTCCTCTCCATAAAAAAACTTTGTTCTTTCATATTCATATTGTACTTTAGGTTCATTTAATGAATACATCTCCCTTTTGTTAAAAAACTATTTTTAATTGTTATAAACAATAATAGTTAACAAATAATGAACTTTGGTTCCTCTGCACCAAAAAGAATTTTTTTCATAGTTTTCATTGAAGTTCATTGCAAAGAATGTTTGTCTCAAAATAAAGCAATAAACATTTTAATGTTCAGAATATATATTAATTGCATTTATTTTATTTTAATTAATTTTTTTATTTTAATTTTAAAAAACACAAGAAAAGAAAAAAACATTTAATACAAATTTATATATATAAAATTGTTTATAGTTATTGAACAAACTATTTCATACGTTCACTATTTTTTAACATATATTCTTTGTAATAAACTTCAATGAAAACTATGGAAAAAATTCTTTTTGGTGCAGAGGAACCAAAGTTCATTATTTGTTAACTATTATTGTTTATAACAATTAAAAATAGTTTTTTAACGAAAGGAAGATGTATTTATTAAATGAACCTAAAGTATAATATGAATATAAAAGAACAAAGTTTTTTTATGGAGAAGAACCAAAGTTAACTATTTGTTAACTAATATTGTTTATAAGTGTTTAGATAAATTATTTTATGTTTTACTATTTATCTGGTGGTCATATATTATATTAATTGAATCTGATTTAGGACATGTGTAGTAGCAAAATAAGAAAATAATCATTCATTTTTAAAGGAAACTACACAACTAATTTGTTAACTTTTTGTATTTAAAAAAAATTATAAATAATTGAAGATTTTTAGGTTTGCATGGAGGGATATGTTCAGAAATTGTTCTCCTTTTATTTAAAACAAAAAACACTCGAATCGATTAAAAATTTTAGTCTGTAGACATTTTTTGAGAAGTAAATTGTAAAAAAATTCCATTGTGAGGCGTTTCGTAGAACACGAGCACCTTGCACGTGATTTTTGAAAATTTTGTACAACTCATTAAACGCGTCGGCCCACTCCAAAACTTTTTGGAAAATCTTCTGTATATTATAAGGTATAAATAAATTTAAAAAAAAGAAAAAAGAAAAGGGTCCAAAGTTAAAAAAAATTAATTTGTTTATAAAAAAAAAAAATTTTTTTAATAAAAAATTAAAAAAAATTTTTTTTTTTACATTTCTTAAAAGTTGAAAGAAAATTAAAACTTTCATTCCTTGACAAGTTTTTTCTATACTTAATATTTTCAGACTTATAAGCTACTGAAAATATGTCTACAGTTACAAATCCAAAATTTCGAAAATTCATAACTCGAAAATTTGGGCGATTAAACAAAAATAAAAAAACACGTATTTCTTTTTTTTCCATATAGATTAAGAAAAAAATATGTTTAACCGAATTTTCAAGGTCATAGGTAAATCTTGCGTGGAATTGCCCTTATATAGAGCCAGTGTAACAGGTCACAAGCGAGAAGAAAGCACTAGCATGTACTCTGGCGGCGCTTGTCGGAAGTGGCGCAACGTTGGTTGCCAAGCGCTGTGTCGATAATGTCAGGATATGCATGCGCGCCAGAAAACAGTTCCGACAAGCGCCGCCAGAGTGCATGCTAGTGATTTCTTCTCGCTTGTGACCTGTTTCACTGGCTCTATATAAGTACCTGCTCCTCTCTCGCAAAGACATTCACAGTTATCCCTCCACTGTAAAATATAAAGTGAGGGAATTTATCAGTCTTTCATCTTTGTTTTACCAGAGGTGACAAATTAAATTAATATGTTCTATTAATTTAAAAAAATATATATTTTTAAAAAATATGTTTTTTTTAAATAAATTTTTGAAAAATATATTTTTTAAAAATAAATTTTAATTAATAATTAAGAAAAATCAATTTTCAAAACCTTGGTTTTTTGTTGGCTGCCAATAAAAAATCAAGCTTTTGAAAATCGATTTTGTCTCCTTGGCAATTCCTTGGCAAATAATATTGGCCCGATGCTTGGCTACCGATCATTGGCAGTAGCGTGATCATCCCAAGTTTAAACCATTGGTGGTCCAATGATGGTTGCCATTAATGTTCCAATAATGGAACGGAGTTCGCCAAGCATGGCCCATTATTGAACCAATCGTTTACTTCCCATTGGGAAGCAGCTTGAACTTAAAGTTTTAATTTTTTTGACTTCCTTACCTATTACTTTAAACTTAATTATCAAAGTAGACTTCTTATATGTTTCAAATAAATTTTATTTGGCTCAAATGTATGTTTTATTTATGTCGAATAAAATTTTTATTTAAAACAAAAAAAAGTCTAGTTGGTTCTGAGACAAATATACGTTTATTTAACTCTATAGAGGTGTGCAAAAACCTCGAATGGCCGAGCCGAGCCCGAGCTCGATGTACCGAGTACTCGAATAATTCGAGTACCCGTAATTTTCGAGTACTTGCACCAGTTTCAGGGAATTTAGGTTCCCATTAAAATAATCATAGCTATAGACAATCACTAAAGTGGACCCGGGTATCCAGGAGTAATGTGAAAATCATCTTCAGAAAATTTTTGTTTCTTTAGAATAATCATAGCTATAGACTAACCCTAAAGTGCACCCGGGTGTCTAGGAGTCAAGTGAAAATCATCCTCAGGGAATTTTGGTTTCTATCGAATAATCATAGACATAGACTAACCCTAAAGTGCATCCGGGTGTCGAGAAGTGAAGTGAACTTCATCTTCAGGGAATTCTGTTTTTTTCGAGTAATCATGCTTCCAAAATAACACTAAAGAACACCCGGATGTTTAAGAGTCAGATGAACATCATCTTCAAGAAATATAGGTTCCTATAAAATAATTATAGCTAAGGACTAACACTTAAGTACCCGGAATGTCTGAGTGTTAGTGGATCATTATTTTAATAATTGTAGCTTCAGACTAACATCAACGTAGACTGTGATTTGCAGGATGATGTTCAACTGATTCTTGGACATCATCCTGCTATCCTGATAATTCGTTTATCTTAGTGTTAATCTAGTGCTATGCTTTTCGATGGCGACCTAAATTCCCAGATGATGATATTTTACTCAGTCCTTGTCATCCGGGTGTACCTCGGTGTTAATGTAGAGCTATGATTTTTCAATGAAAGCCTATAATTTCCCAAATGTTGGTGTTCAACTGACTCTTGGACATTTGGGTCAAGAGATAACTGGAGCTATATCATTATTTTATGGAACCTAGAATCCACTGAAGATGATGTTCAACTGACTCTTAGTCATCCAGTTGCATTTAAGTGTTAGTCCTTAGCTATAATTATTCATTAGAAACCAAAATTCCCTGAAGAAGATGTTCATCTGACTCTTGGACATCCGGGTATTCTTTATTGTTATTTTGGCAGCATGATTACTCGAGAAAAACAGAATTCGCTGAAGATGACGTTTACCTGACTCCTGAACAGCCGGGTGCACTTTAGTGTTTGTCTATGTTTATGATTATTCGATAGAAACCAAAATTCCCTGAGGATGATTTTCACTTCTGCTGGACACCCGGGTGCACTTTAAGGTTAGTCTCCCGTGTAGAAATTTATCATGGTGTTGTTAGGTGCCAGTCTATTTTGGCTAGATACTGTACTGGCGTTAGATAATCAACCAGTCTTAAAACTAGCTAAAAATGAAACCATTTGAATACGTAGTAACTAGACTTTATTAACTGTAAAATTACTATCTAAAATATCTAGATAAATCTAATCAATTCTAGACAAAATCTAGAGTTATAAATTGACAATTTAAATTAAATTTAGAAAGTTTTCAATTCAAACACATGTAGTTCATAAAATTAGGTTTATTGGAAACAAAATTGCAAATAACATACTTTTTTAAATCTATTTATACTTTTTTTAAAAACTATTTTCTAATCTTCAATATAAGCAATATCAATTTTTTCAGTCTCTAACGTGTCTTCAGAATTTGTTTTCTCTACTGCTTCACTTAGTTCCTTTTTCTTTAAAGTTCTCTGTGCCCGATTTCCATCCCAATCAATGGCATTTGTAATGACTGGTCCCAATGCCTTAAAAAACTCCTTTTCAGTTAAAGGAAGCGATTTTTGTTTGTAAATTCGTTTAATAATATCTAAAACAAAAGAAAAATTAGTTTAAAGATGTAATAAATATTAAATATATTAATAATGTAATAGGTATATTAAATAAAAAAGCGATAATCTAATTAATACCGAGAATACATTTGCAACACTCTGTTTTCTTAAATATTAGCTCCTTTTTGTCTGTTCTTCTCATTGCATTGAATTGAAGAACAACATCTCTTTCTAGGTACATTTTTAGGATATTGGTTAATGTTCGAGATAAAATATTATTTTGGTCTAGAAGACTGTTAACACTTTGTTTCTGAAAACAATATGATAAATTTTAATTTACACTTTATACATAAAGTTCTTCAAAAATTATTAAAATGATACGTTCTCATTTCGAAACAAAAATTCCTAATTAATTTTCAAATTTGAGTTTTATAAAACCTAAAAAGTGTAAAGCAATACATTTTCATTTTTTAAGTAATTAAAGCTTGTATTTACGCAAATAATTCGAATTTATTTTATTTAACTTTAGGATTACTTACAAACTCGCTTCTAAAGGCTGGGTTTTTTTCTAATAAATCTTCCATTGATTGAAATTCTTCTATTGTACTTATTGGCAGTTGTAGTTCATACTTCTCTGCTACGGAACTTGGAAGGTCGTTGCTTGCACCGTTCGAAATGATTATCGCGCTTATGCTTCGTAGTTCTCGTTGAGTTTCCTGTTGATTGAGATGAAAAACGTATAACGCATCCATAATTTTTTTTAAAATAAAGCTTGTGTTATCTGTAAAAAATGTAAAAAGTTTATTAACAAAATACCAAAAGCATTTCATATTTGAAAGAATATAACTTTATTATACATGAAATTTATAATTTAACCTTTCTCTTTATCAGAAATAGAATGTCTAAAAACATCCAATAATTCTTCATTGTTTTTTTGAATTTATTCTTGCCCTAAAAATGTGAAAAAACACATATTTAATATTAATATTTACTTTCAAATGGTTTTCTAAACGGTGAATATTAATAATAATCAAGGAGACTTACTTTTTAGTGTTAAAGGAAGACTTTTAGTACTTATATGAGAACGAGGTTCTTCAACAAGTAATTTTTGTTGATTATCAACAGTCTCTTGTGGAATATTCGATGTTTTATTATATCTATGATATTGTTTTATTTTACCTTCGTTTTATAAACCTGAAAATTATAAAAAAAGATTTTATTTTAATATACTTTATTTTATTACCTATTATTAGTTGCCTATTTTATGACTTTGTTTTTTACAAAAATGATTTTAGTGTTTGGACCTTTTCCACGATTAATATTTTGGTTCGAGATATTGTTCTGTTTAACCGAAGAACTTTCCTTATTAAGGTTATCACTCTTAACTCCTTTACAGGATTCATTGTTGGTTTGTAATACGATTGACTCTACAAAACAAAGAAGTAAACTTAAAAATAGATTATTAATGAAAGTAAAAACCTACGTTATACAGAAAGCACATAAACAAAGTTTTACAATTTAAAATTATAATACTTTTCTTACGATAACGCTGAGTTTTTTTTCTTATTAAAAGAAATTCATCGCTGGTCACCGAAATTTTTGAATCTGTAAATTAAAATAGATAATTGCGAAAAACATTCAAAACACAATAAATTAAATTAAAATTTTATTTTAAACTTAAATTTTTTACCATTACTATTTAAAGAGCTCCCTTTTTGACAGAATGCCGTTTTACAACTTGTTTGGCAGAATATTTCGTGTTTTCCAAGACAGATTCATCACTTGTTTCTATTTGTTTTGAATCTAAAAAAGTAAAATAGAATAACATGAAAAGTAGTTTATCATATCGTTTAATAAAATATTCATTCACATTTCTTCTTTACATACCACTAATTTCAATAAGGTTTTTTTCAAAATCAAATGAACTTTCCGTCACAGACTCATCGCTCATACGAGAAATATTTGAATCTTTAACGTAAAATGCTTTGTTTTAATAGATAATCGTAAATAAATTTTTAAAATTAAATAATTAATCTTAATTAATTAATATTAATAAAGGTTATAACTCTTATTTCTAAATATTCAAGTAATAATTAAGTTTTATAGAATAAATGTGACGCGACCCGAAGAAAGGTACCTAAGAAGCAAACGAATTATAGATTGGGTTTGAGTTAGATTTATCTTGATTAAAAGTTCATTTTTAATTATTTGAATTTTAAACCAATATTAATTGAATATTTTGAATATAATGAAAACTTGAAAACCAACAATTTTTAATTAATAATTGATTCTCTTTCTGTATTTTTACTCAAAAAAATTTAAAACATAACCTCAAATTTTTTCCTTCTTAGGTACCTTTCTTGGGAACGCGTCACAAATATATTATTCATATTCATTAATTATGATTAAAAAATAAGTATGTATTAAAGTTCATTAATTATAATTTAATAATTCAAAAATAATTCCATAAAGTATCTATGCAAAAAATTTATTTGTTTAAATTAAAAGTAATTTCACAGTCAAAATAAGTCACATTACTGTAAGTTCTAAACGTAAATTGGAAAATTATAGTTTTTCACAGTAGAATAATACTAATTGTACAATAATAATATAACATGAATAATTAATTTAAAAATTTGAAAATTTTGTAAAAAAAATTAACACTGTTCATGAAGGAAAGGTACTAGAAATACTTTTTTGTTTCCTTCAGCTGTAATATTAACAGACATCTTGACGACTTTGTTTTGAATGAAGGACAACGGAAAAGTTTTTAAAGTTTTACATGGTTTTCTAAAAACTTCCCACATATTGAATAATTCTGATTTACAAGGATAATTAAAAAATCGGCTTTTTATTCTTAAACAAACGTCCTTTTATAAATATTTCATTATCAAATCTGAAAACTTTAACGATTTTCATAAAAGATCGATTATTAAGGAGAACAATGTTATTAGGTTCTTGATTACGAATTACGAAGTCCATATATTTAATTTTAAAAATGTTGTCTCCTTTTTCTTTTAAAATTTCATATTTAGAAGGTAGTATAGCTTTTTTCATAGTAATCGATGAAGCTTCATGAATTCTTCTGCAAATTTGGGCTAGTGGTCTATTCGGAGTTCTTAACTTGTCTTTAAGCTTTCCCAAGAAGCTTTCAAAGGGAAAAGCACAAATTCTAGACAAACTACATCCCATTTTTAAAACGTCATCAGTTAAGTGAATTAGATTGTGGGCGTTTATTGTTAGAAAAGTCATTCCGTAAAATTTTTTCGAAGCATTGACGAAAGTTATCAAATATTCTTTGGCGTAATCATTATATTTTAAACAGAAGACATCAGAACATAAAATCCGGCAACCAACATAAAATAATAGAAAATGTTTATATAGTCTTGATGGCAATATATTTTTTAAAACGACAGGTCCACAATATAAAAGAAAAAATCTAAATTCGGTGGCCTTCTACTTTCCATATTTTTTTTGTAGTCCTCGGCTTCCTCTGAAATTCGGAAGGAACTTGTTTTTTAAGTAAATCCATTCGGTCGGCAAGAATATCCTTTGCTCTTAAACCAAGTCTTACATTTAAATTGCCAGAAAACCAAAATTCAAAAAGCTTTTTCATGACTCCCAAGCAGCACAAATGCATAAAATCTAAAACGAACATAAATACCATGTTTATTGTTGGCTGAATATTCAATAAATATGTTTTTCCCTTGTGATGCAATTTTTGAGTTTGTTCTCGAAAGGAATTGTCTGATCGTTTTTGCGAATTTATTGATCTATAAACAGTTCGACCATAATTTTTTTTTCCTTCAACTTCTCATCTTTCGCAAGCGTATTTCGAATTGTGATTCACAGTACATTTACAAAACGCTCTGGCGGGAGTATCACAAATAAAACATTTTATGCTTATTGTAAAGTGTTTGTTTCCAATTTCGAGTCCGTTTTCTAGTAATATATTAATTTCAGAGACAAATTCATTAAAGTACAAATCGGTGCTATGTGGCTTTGTTGATCCGCAAAATATAGACACGGGAAAAGTTTATAAATATTATTACCGAAATGAATTTGGCAAAGAGTCGGCCAAAGTTCATTATCTCCGCCTGATTTCTTTATTGATAAGCCGTCCACTGAGAATTTCAAATCTATATTGTTCTTGGTATGTATATCAGGATTTATGCATGCTCTTAAGCCATTAGCGATCCCAAGATAAACAAATTCTCTATTAGTGTTCTTACTACCCAACATTGGCTCTATCGTGTATTGTGCACTAGATGTTTTTAAAAACGTTTTCGATGATTTTGGAAGACCTGTTAATAACCTTCGTCTAAAAATTTGCAAAAGTTCATTAAACGAATTTTGTTCGTATTTCATTGATAAATTCAAATAGTATTGGCCACCATATTGGATTTTCCATTCAAAATTTTTTAAATCTAACTGTTTGAGAGTGGGAGTTTTTAATAAAAGCGCCTTAATATATAAGCTACCGTTCTAATGCGACTTTCCTTAAATGTACAATTACACAGGCACCCTATATTCTTATGTTATTTTGGGTCCCTAAAAACGAAAAAAACCACCAAAAATAAATTCGTCCCCTCCTCCACCCCCTAGCACTCTCTTACTACCCCTAGGGGGAGGTTGAGCTTTTCGGTTTCATGAAAAGTCGTGTGGATGTGTGTGTATACTTTTTATAAAACCAAAAATTTCATATCCCCCTAGAAGTAGTAAGGGGGTGCCATGAGTTGGAGGAGGGAACTAATTTATTTTTGGTGGTTTCTTCGGTTTTAGGGACCCAAAAAAACATAAGAATACACATCGCTTTCGACTTTCCGTGAGTAGGTGTAAGGAAGTGGAGCGGGAAAACGGGCGATGAAAAAAAATTTTATGGTCGTATTCGGTTTCAGAGACCCCAAAAAGATAGGGATATGGGGGTGTGTCCTCTGGGTTTTAACCTCTTATTTTTTTGTGTGCCTGTGTTATCAATTCTCGAAATCTGTGTGAAAATTCGTGGAATTGTCAATAGTTTACACAGAGAAAAACTGAACTCAAAATGAGTCGAAAAAGTGACTCATTATGAGCTGCAACAAAAATGAACCTCGCAGATGGCGCCACGTTCTATGTCATTTAACATGGACTCATTTTGAGTTGCAACAAAAATGAGTCCAAGTTTTTTCTGTGTACACAGAAAAAAACTATACTCAAAATGATACCCCTTCGACTCATTCTGAGTTTCTGAGGAAAAGACTCAAAATGAGTAAAATCGGGATCATTTTGAGTTTATGAAAAAATTACAATAACATTGGAATAACTGGGAATAATTCATAAAAATATGAATTAAAATAATTGTTTATAATGAATAAACACTTTGCACTTGTCAAAACATTAATACTTGAAGTCGATTTATCGCATTTATGAGAATTGAAAAACGAATTTTTAGGTTAGACATTTGTGAATTGACTGACAGGGATGGCAACCATGTAAACACGAAACATGCGAAACACAAAAAAAGTAACGGCGCAACGCGCAGCAGACATTTTCTACAGCTGTTGCCAACATAACACACACAAAAAACTAGAACCTGACATTTTTTTCATTTTGAGTCACTTGAAGTTGTCGATTACTCATTTCGAGACCGACTTCCAAATGTGTTGCAACGAAAGTGAGTCGAGTTTTTTTCTGTGTATAGTCTTCAAGAGTGCGAGGAACGCGTAGGTCGTACTTTCGACTGAATTTATAGTTTGTTTTCTAAACGCTCACGACCCACAAATTTATAAACCTTTATGAAAAAAAATTAACATTTTAAAAAATAATTAACAATTTTGTAATTACAACAATAATAACAAAAAAATATTTGTTGCAAAATTTGCAACAAAATTAAAAATTCGAAAATAAAAGGAAACAATGCTACTGAAAATTGTTACTCCGGGGTTTTCGGGGTCGCTGATTACGAATTTGATATCAGATTTTAAAAATTCAAAATGGCGGATCCAATATGGCGGACATCATTTTTAAAAACTGATTCAATTTGCCTGAAAATTGTTACTCGGGGGTTTTCGGGGTCGTTGATTACGAATTTGATGCCAGATTTTAAAAATTCAAAATGGCGGATCCAATATGTCGGACATCATTTTTAAAAACTGATTCAATTTGCCTGAAAATTGTTACTCGGGGGTTTTCGGGGTCGTTGATTACGAATTTGATGCCAGATTTTAAAAATTCAAAATGGCGGATCCAATATGGCGGACGTCATTTCTAAAAACTGATGTAATTTGCCTGAAAATTGTTACTCGGGGGTTTTCGGGGTCGCTGATTGCGAATTTGATATCAGATTTTAAAAATTCAAAATGGCGTATCTAATATGGCGGACATCTTTTATAAAAATTGATTCAATTTGCCTGAAAATTGTTACTCGGGGGTTTTCGGGGTCGCTGATTACGATTTTGATTTTAATTTTTTAAAATGTAAAATAGCGGTTTCAATTTAGTGTATAAAATGTCCAAATAAAACCGAGATCAGAATAAAATGTTCGTCTACCTTCGTGACAATGTGAAAAACAAATACCTAACGCAAAACCGGCATCATAATGATTAATGAAATATTCATTTCTATATTCGTAATAATCAGAAAAACAAATGCCTAACGCAAAGACGAAATCAATCTAAAATGCTTGACTATATTTGTGAAAATCGGAAAACAAAAGCCTAACATGAAAACGCGATCCGAATAAAATATGAATCTACATTTGTGACAATGCGATAAACAAATGCCTAATGAGAAAACGATGTCAAAATTAAATGTTCGTTTACATTCGTGACTATAGAAAAACAATTGCCTAACATAGACTCTAACATTGGATTAGTAAACAGCGGCCCTGAAAAACCCCTACTAACAATTTTTAGGCAAATTGAATCAATTATTAGAAAAGATGTCCGCCATATTGGATCCGCCATTTTGAATTTTTAAAATCTGACATC